ACTACTTTTATCCTATCTTAATGACCTTATCTACTCCTGTGTGCTAAATGAATGTTGTAGGGCTGCTTCTTAGCTTTCTAATGAAGTATGAATCATATTATTTCGGTGCATGTAGCTTATAATATCCTCAATTTTCTGAGACTCTGTAAGTTGATTATTTCTTGTTGTGAACTACGACCATGATTTAAATGTTTGCTGAAAAATATGTGATCGAATGACATTGTATGATTTTGTGATCTAAATGAGAATTTTACCGCATGTTTTAGGATCCATGTTATTCAGGAATCATGCTTATGTGACTTATATGTTAAGTGTTATACCGGATTATAGAATGTTGTATTGTGCCATTTCGATAAACTTGTGTTATGTTTCCGAAAATAAGTGTTACTTTCAATATGCATGCCTATGTGACCTATGTGACATGTGCTAGATTCAATTTGATTTGATATATTGTTGAGTGGAAACACTTGAGAGAGAAGTTTTACTCTAAGATCTCGAAGTATCGAAATTATAGGTATATATGTGGTTTAGACTCGTTTAGAACTGCCGGCACGATTAGCTACCTGAGTAAAAGTTGTCGTGACGGCCGACACTGTTAGTCAGAAAAGTCAAGTGAGCTAACTATTATTGTTCGGAGATTACCGTCGAGTTAGGATTACTCCGGGCAGTGATGCCAATATTCGATCCCTTTGGGGAAATTGTTGTTGTCAAACCCAAACCTTTGTAATTTTCAGTTTTGTAGAGAAATCTTTTTCCTATCTGGGTACTTAGGGATTGTGAAACCTGGAATTTGAAATTTTCAGGTATGTACTCAAACCGAGCACCGAACCTGACTGGGTGTATTGTAACACCCCGCTTTTAATTTACGTTGGAAAATGAGAGTAAATTTTTTTACTTTTCAAAACTTATAAAAATCACTCTACTAATCTCGGGATGTTCCCTTTTTCTTTTCATAAAATACATGTCAAATTATCAAACTGAGATTGGTTTATTTAAAACTTAAATTCCTTATTGCCGAATCTTTATTCGAAATTATCAAATCTTCATTTCACATCAAATTAAATTGATGCCATGAAATATTAAATCATCTAGCATTCGACATTATGAAAATAGATAAATAGCAGAAAAGTAAACTTGGTTCAATGTGAGCCATTATTTATTACAGAACATTTAAATGTCCTTTATTTGCCATTTAACTCGAACACCTCCACCTTGACTCAGCCTGCACGCTCAACTCCATTTCCTGTTAGATCTCTCATTCGTGAGCATAACCTTGACTTTGCGGCTTTCTTAGAGCCTATGACTCGTGACCCTTCTTTTGACTGTATTCGCGACGCTTTGGTTTTCATGCCGGGATGGGAAACACCTCTAACAAGATTTGGTTTTTCCACTCGCGTGACTTTACTTGTCAGATCCTTCGAAATACTGATCAAGTCTTACACGTGAAGCTCTCCGCCGCCCATCTTCCGGAGCCGATCTTCCACACCTTGGTTTACGCCAGCTGTGCGAGGGTTGGTCGCTATGATCTCTGGGACACCATGCGTGAGATTGCTGAGAGTATGGAGGGATTACCGTGGATGATTAGC